GCCAGTTCCCCTACATGTAGTGTAGTGATGAGAGGTCTCTAACCGTTGCCTCACCCCTATTCTCAGCACACTGTGGAACTTTCTGCACTAAGAATCTCTCTGGTTTTTCACTACTAGAAATCAATTTTGTTCTAATGAAAAATCCTGAATTCTCCTCCGTGGAGAATAAAGATCTTTATTTCTGCTCAAGACCCATGCTAAACATCTCAACAACCCAGTCCTTCTACAAAACCACCATCTTGACCAAAAGCATTCTTCCAGAAGGAAAAGAATAATTCAGTCCTGTCCTCTTCACACCCAGTTGAGTTTGAAGAGCCAACAGGGAGATGCTAGCATTGCTGCTGCAGGCTCTCAACATCAGCACCTGCCTGCTGGGAGCTTGAGCAGGTCACCAACGCTTCTTCTAGATCACTATATAACACACAACTAAATCACGGCATGTGTCACACACCACTGCCAACAAAGACAGGCTTCTCCCAGGACTGATGTTCCCACGGCAAGGGCCAGTTCACAAAGCTGTCCCAGACAGGAGCTGCCTCTCTCAGTGACAGCCAGAGGCAGGGAGGTGGACAGATTCCCATGGGTGGTATGAGAAATGAGAACAGCCTGTGACGCCTGGTGCTCTAATGCTTTCAGAGAAAGATGGGTGGACTTGTCCATTTAATTCTTCCTCACTGACTCACAAAGAATTGCAACACTCCTTCTCACAAGCTGTTCTGTAGGTCTTGTAGCTTGATAGTCTTCTTACACATGCTCAAGCAGGGCCAAGTCCTGGAAGGTGCTCAGTACTTCTGAGAAGTACTGGGCACTCAGCTTCCCCCAGATAAACGTACCTCCTTTCAAATCTTAGGAAAACCACAGAAATCTTTTCTTACATCTAGAAGTTTCCACTCACAAATCCCCAGTGTCCATTCCCAGAGCTTGGCCAGCCTGCAGGGCTTCAGACATACTCCAGCACTTAGTGCAATCTTGCCACCGGAGCCCTCAATACACCTGAATCTGCACAAGTTCAACACCCAGCTCAAGAGGATAATATCATTGTGTATTTAATCCTCCTTTAGGAATTATCAGACTTTGAAACTACAGTGGAAATGCTGAGAGCGTATCCATATATGACCCTACTTGACATTTGCTTTGATTTTACTGCAAATAGTTTTGAATAACAGAAAACGTCAGGAATTTCTTCTGACTCCACAGAGTATTTCAACACAGTATCTTTCCTTTGCTTGCTGTGCTTTTTTCTCTCCATTTTGAGTATCAATCAATCAACTACTATTTGCATGGGGTTTGTGTGGCCAGGTTTTGGTAGCGAGGGCTGCAGGGGCAGCTTCTGCGAGAAGATGCCAGAAGCTTCCCCCATGTCCAATAGAACCGATGCCTGCCAGCTCCGAGACGGACCCGCCCCTGGCCAAGGCCGAGCCCATCGGTGACGGTGGCAGCACCTCTAGGACAGCAGAGTTAAGAAGGGGGAAAAAAAGGCAACAGCAATTGCAGCCGGAGAAAAGAGTGAGGGTATGTGTGAGGAGCAGCCCTGCAGCCACTGGCTCGGGGGAGGAGGGGTCCAGGGGCCGGAGCAGAGGCGCCC